TCAAACGGCAAGTTAGCCTTTTGGGGTATGTAGTGTCGGAAGAAGGTATCCGCACGGATCCAGAGAAAATTGCCGCTGTCAAGGATTGGTCGGTTCCAAAAGACAAGACACAGGTTAGAGCATTTTTGGGTTTGTGCTCTTATTATCGGCGATTTGTGAAGAAATTTGCAGATATAGTCAAACCTCTGCACAAGTTAACTGAGGAGAAGCGACATTTCTGCTGGGATGAAAGTTGCGATATCGCATTCCAGGAGCTCAAGAACCGTCTGTGCAAAACACCTGATGCGGGCAAGGAATTTATAGTTGACACAGACGCAAGTATTATAGGACTTGGCGGTGTGTTGTCTCAACGGAGTGGTGATCAAGAGATTGTGATACTTCAGCAAGTAGTTGTCAAAGCCGGAAAGGAACTATTGTGTCACAAGACGGGAATTGCTTGCTGTGGCAAAGTCCTTGCAGCATTTTAGCAAATATCTTCTGGGGCGGAAATTCCGCTTACGAACTGATCATGCTGCACTGAAATGGCTATTGCAGTTCAAAAATCCGGAAGGACAAGTTGCGAGATGGATTGAACTACGGCAGGAATACGACTTTGTGATCGAACATCGCAGCGGGAAATCTCATGGCAATGCAGATGCATTGTCAAGAAGACCTTGCCCTGAAGATTGCAAGCATTTTACTAGGCAAGAGGGTAAGGAAGTAGTATCTGTGAGGATGCTCAGGACAGACCAGCTCAGCAATGAGTGGCAGGACAGCCTACAACATGCACAGCAGGAAGATTCGGACATTAAGCCGATTCTGGAATGGATGAAGGCCAGTGCTCCTAAGCCCAAGTAGAGCGACGTCTCAGCAATGAGTTCGATCACGAAAAGCTATTGGACCCAACGGGACAGCTTGCTGATTCAGGATGGAGTCCTGTGCCGTAAATACGAAAATGGTCGGGGAGACAGTTGTCATTTGCAAATGGTTGTCCCTAAGGCTAAAGTACCGGATGTTCTACAGCTGTACCATAGTGGTTGTTCAGGAGGCCACCTGGGAGTTAAACGAACTCTACTGCAGATCCGAGAACGGTTTTACTGGGTCCACTGTCGTGACGATGTCGACGACTGGTGCCGCAAATGTATAAGTTGTGCGGCTGTAAAGGGACCTCAAACTCGTAGTAGAGGCGCATTGAAATTATACAATGTTGGTACACCATGGGAGAGGATAGCCATAGACGTTGCGGGGCCGTTTCCGGAAAGTGAAAGTGGTGTAAGGTGTAAGTGGAAGTAATCCACCACAGCCATGAAATACTTGTTGTATTTCATGGTTGTGATGGATTACTTCACTAAGTGGCCAGAAGTCTTCGCCATTCCAAATCAAGAAGCTTTAACAGTTGCAGATAAACTAGTTCATGAAGTCTTCTGTCGTTTTGGAGTACGCTTAGAGATTCACAGCGATCAAGGAAGGAATTTTGAGTCTCAAATATTCCAGGAAACTTGCAGAGTTATGGGTACTCATAAAACACGAACAACTTCTTACCACCCACAATCTGATGGAATGGTAGAACGATTTAATCAGACATTGGAAAGGTACCTGGCAAAAGTTGTGGAAAAACAGCAACGAGACTGGGACAGGCACATACAACCGTTTTTGTTGTCATATCGAAGCGCTGTTCACGAAAGTACATCAGCGACGCTAGCTTTCGCAAACTTTGGGAGAGAATTACGGCTGCCTGCAGACCTGATCACCGGAATACCACCTGATGCCCCACGCAGTATAACCGATTATGCAAATGACTTGCGAAACAAAATGAATGACATTTATGAGCACGTCAGACAGTCGGGCCAGCAAACGTCTGAAAAGATGAAAACACGGTATGACCGCAAAATGAACAACAAATGGTTTGACGAAGGTTCACTAGTGTGGTTACACAATCCAGCTCACAGCAAAGGGAAATCTCCTAAGCTTCAAGCTAAATGGGACGGACCGTACCGGATTGTGACAAGAATCAATGACGTAACCTACCGGATTCAGAAATGTGCCAGAGGTACTCCTAAGATCGGCCATGTGGATCGACTGGCGCTTTACTATGGGGCCAATAATGCTCGGGACGAGCATGTCTTAGGAGGGGGCAGTGTTACGCGCCACTATAAATGTCTTGTACATGGCAACACTTGTTACACTAGCGCCCTTTAGTGTCGAGTAGCAGAACTAGGAGAGTCAAGATCCTTCCAGAAATTTCGGGACCGATATGTACTCGAACATTCTAGATGTCGCTACAGTAGAAGCTTCTGGAAACTATCTGAAGCCCTATATAAGGCCGGTATAGACCACGACCGAGGCAGTATTGAATTGGCGATACAAGAGAATACTTCGAAGCGAAATAATTGCGAACCAAATTGACAATTGTATTTTATAATTGTGTAGTTTTAGATTATAATTAGTGTTGTGTAATTAAAGTGTAAATTTTGGTAATTCAATCGGCAGTTTTTAATTGTCTCGAACCCCAAGCTCGTAACAATATCTTAGCAGCGGCCGACTTCATGGTTTTCGATCTTTTATACCCCATCAATGTTAGGAGATCGGTTAACGCATCTCTTTCACACTGCTGCGTCAGCACCATAAAGCCTATATAACCGACCTCCCGACAAACGCCCGGGATAAGATAATCAGTCAAGAATCAATCTACAGTCAGTCTCGTTCCAATCTCAGTCTCGTTCATACATCGTTACTAAGTCGTTACTAAATCCTATACTAAATCTTTTCTATATTCTAAGTCCCAGTTATTCTATATCCTAAGTTTAAATAAATCTTATTGTTAAGTATAATCAATTATTTCGTGTTGTGTAAATAAAATCTTTTTTTAAAAAGCTCTATCCTCGGTCCCGTATAATAGATCTCACAACAGATAAGTAGCCGACAGTGTTCGCGTGTGGTTGTGTGATATTTGTATATTAAATGGATATAAATTCAACACTTTTGGCAGCGCTTGTGTTACTTGAAGAAGAGGCACAAGACGACCGTATACGAAGAAAAATAAAGGCAACAAGGAACATTATTTCTATGTTCCTTGTCACTTTTATTGTACGAGGGCGGCACTGAAAATTTCGGGAATCAAGGAAGTGACACAATATACTATTAATAATACTATTTAAAAATGTATTTATTGCTTTTCGAAGTATTCTCCGCGAAATTTGACACATTTTTCCATACGATGGAACCAATCATTGAAGCAACCATTCCATTCGAAAGTTGGGGTTTCCAAAATGGCCGTTTTGTAGGCGTCTACAACTTCTTCAAGTGATGAAAATCTCTGTCCACGCAATTTATTCTTTATTTTAGGGAAAGTATAGAAATCATTAGGGCTTAGGTCGGGGCTGTACGGCGGATGGCCTAATAATTTTATGTTTTCTTGCTCTACAAACTCTTTTGTTTTGTGTGCGGTGTGAGAACTCGCATTGTCGTGATGGAGGATGATGCGGCGGTTGCAGTTCTCTTTACGGAGTTCAGAAACGACCTGTGGCAAACAAATGCTAGCATACCATTCTGCATTATCCGTTCTTTGTCCCTCAAGAGGAATAGTCGTAACATGGCCGGTTTTGGAGACAAACGTGGCCACCATTTTTTTTGCAACACTCCGTGAACGAACAATTTTTGCTGACTTTAACTCATTTTCGAACACCCAAACTCGTGACTGGTTTTTTGTTTCGGGTTCGTACGCGTATATCCAGGATTCGTCACCTGATACGATGTTGTATACAGTTATCTGTACAGTTATATTATAAATTTAATTGACTCAATCAATAACTCGTATTTTTCTTTATTAAATTTTGCCATTTTGTACTAGACACGACCTTAACGCTGCAATGGTTCGAAATAACTAGAGACAGAGCGCAAAGCGTCTGAACGCCGCCTACGACGTCCGTATCAGCGTGTGAAAGAGACTAAAACAGTACATTTCTATGCTTGACGCTGTAAGCGGCCGAAGGCGTTTATAGGAGACCACCGCCTTCGCGCATTGACGTCGTACTGTTCATAGATAATATACTATATTTGTGTTGTGTAAAAAACACATTAGAACAACAGCTGATTCTAGAACGTTTTTCATGTTACTAGCGTGCGGGTGACTCGCGGCAACTGAGCTCTTTCCGAAGTTGAACGAGTGTGTTGTCACGTTCTTTGGACTACGATCGACTTCGATGAGTATTTCATCAAGGTAACTTCGCGAGTAGTGTAGAGGGGGCTTTACCAGGGGCGCTCACGTGCCGAGTGTCTCGGGCCGCGTGCACTGACCTGTGAGCGCGGCGTCCAGCCTGTCGACGACGGCGTCGAGCAGCGCCAGCGCGACCGCGTCGTCGGGGTCGCGCGCGAGCGCCGCACGTGACAAACATTACCAGGGGCGCTCACGTGCCGAGTGTCTCGGGCCGCGTGCACTGACCTGTGAGCGCGGCGTCCAGCCTGTCGACGACGGCGTCGAGCAGCGCCAGCGCGACCGCGTCGTCGGGGTCGCGCGCGAGCGCCGCACGTGACAAACATTACCAGGGGCGCTCACGTGCCGAGTGTCTCGGGCCGCGTGCACTGACCTGTGAGCGCGGCGTCCAGCCTGTCGACGACGGCGTCGAGCAGCGCCAGCGCGACCGCGTCGTCGGGGTCGCGCGCGAGCGCCGCACGTGACAAACATTACCAGGGGCGCTCACGTGCCGAGTGTCTCGGGCCGCGTGCACTGACCTGTGAGCGCGGCGTCCAGCCTGTCGACGACGGCGTCGAGCAGCGCCAGCGCGACCGCGTCGTCGGGGTCGCGCGCGAGCGCCGCACGTGACAAACATTACCAGGGGCGCTCACGTGCCGAGTGTCTCGGGCCGCGTGCACTGACCTGTGAGCGCGGCGTCCAGCCTGTCGACGACGGCGTCGAGCAGCGCCAGCGCGACCGCGTCGTCGGGGTCGCGCGCGAGCGCCGCACGTGACAAACATTACCAGGGGCGCTCACGTGCCGAGTGTCTCGGGCCGCGTGCACTGACCTGTGAGCGCGGCGTCCAGCCTGTCGACGACGGCGTCGAGCAGCGCCAGCGCGACCGCGTCGTCGGGGTCGCGCGCGAGCGCCGCGTGCAGCGCGTCGGCGGCGGCGCGCGCGCGGCCCAGCAGCGCCAGGCACAGGCCGCGCGCCGCCAGGGTCGCCGCGCGCGCGGGCCGCAGCGCCAGCGCGCGCTCGTGCCAGCGCAACGCGGCCCGCGGCTCGCCCAGCGCGCGGCTCGCGTGCCCCAGCCCGTCCAGCGTCGCCGCCCACCGCGGGTGCAGCTGCACGCAACAATAGCCGTTTCTTAGTTAGTTTATCACAGCCTATATACGTCCCACTCCTGGGCACAGGCCTCTTCTCATGTCTGAGAGGAGACAAGGAAACGTCCGCCGCACTGCCCCAATGCGTATTGATAAACCTTCAAATGCCTTCGAAATATTTATTTTCTAATTCCTTAAATATGCAAGTTTCCTCAAGATGTTTTCCTTCACCACCGAGCACAGGTAAAACATCTGTTACGGCCTACGGCTGCTTCCACAAAGGTCAAATCCTGGCTGGGGCCCATAGCAGCTCCTTCGACGGGCAGACGTAGGTCAGCGCCGGACCACTTCTTTCTTCCCTGTCACTACTCAGTCTCTCAGCTTCATTGTACATTTAACTAACTTCAATTCGCCTAATTCCACACTCATCGCAGAATCGAACACGTGATATCCGACACGGCAAGGACAATAGCACAAAATTCGACATTGAATGTCCCGGATTCCCTTATCACAAATTATAAATTCGGCACCAGAATAACACGTCGCACCAGAGTCAAAATACGCCTTGTTGATACGCAAATTAATCTAACTAGGCAACCCAAACACAAAAGGCACTAACACGACGATTCAATTATAACGATATCTTAATCTAACTATCTAGATCCACGACGGCCGCGAATTAACGTAAGAGGCCTGACGGCCCTCGTGGCCGGCGGAGCACCGACCCCTCGACCACGCGTCGAGCGATAGACTGCCCACGCGTCGAGCGACTCGGCGTTTTTCTCACCTACATACCAAATCAGGTGAGGCGCTAGCTCGAACTCCATTAGAGGGCGTGCAAATTACCTTTTTTGGCCTAAACAACATCCTTTCAACGCATTTCTTTATTTTATTATTTTTAAATAAAAATTACAGTTATTTACAATCACTTATTATTATTATTATTATGTAGAAATTACACAGTTTACACATGTAGATAAAATAGAAAATAAAAGAGTAGAGTGGAATACTAAAAAAGTTTGCGATAAAGTTATGCGATACTTATTTTTTAAATTAACCTAAACTATATAAATCTTATAAATTATGTATACAAAATGTTATTATAATAAGAATATAACACAGTAGCGAAGTATTTCCATTAGAGTTACACAATTGTACTACCGCTCGTGCTCGTGTCGGTACCTGGTCGCGCTCGTCCCGCGCGGCGTCCAGCGCGCGCAGCCACAGCGCGCGCGCCGCCTCGTGCTCGTGCTCGTGTCGGTACCTGGTCGCGCTCATCTCGCGCGGCGTCCAGCGCGCGCAGCCACAGCGCGCGCGCCGCCTCGTGCTCGTGCTCGTGTCGGTACCTGGTCGCGCTCGTCCCGCGCGGCGTCCAGCGCGCGCAGCCACAGCGCGCGCGCCGCCTCGTGCTCGTGCTCGTGTCGGTACCTGGTCGCGCTCGTCCCGCGCGGCGTCCAGCGCGCGCAGCCACAGCGCGCGCGCCGCCTCGTGCTCGTGCTCGTGTCGGTACCTGGTCGCGCTCATCTCGCGCGGCGTCCAGCGCGCGCAGCCACAGCGCGCGCGCCGCCTCGTGCTCGTGCTCGTGTCGGTACCTGGTCGCGCTCGTCCCGCGCGGCGTCCAGCGCGCGCAGCCACAGCGCGCGCGCCGCCTCGTGCTCGTGCTCGTGCTCGTGTCGGTACCTGGTCGCGCTCGTCCCGCGCGGCGTCCAGCGCGCGCAGCCACAGCGCGCGCGCCGCCTCGTGCTCGTGCTCGTGTCGGTACCTGGTCGCGCTCGTCCCGCGCGGCGTCCAGCGCGCGCAGCCACAGCGCGCGCGCCGCCTCGTGCTCGTGCTCGTGTCGGTACCTGGTCGCGCTCGTCCCGCGCGGCGTCCAGCGCGCCGCCTCGTGCTCGTGCTCGTGCTCGTGTCGGTACCTGGTCGCGCTCGTCCCGCGCGGCGTCCAGCGCGCCGCCTCGTGCTCGTGCTCGTGCTCGTGTCGGTACCTGGTCGCGCTCGTCCCGCGCGGCGTCCAGCGCGCGCAGCCACAGCGCGCGCGCCGCCTCGTGCTCGTGCTCGTGCTCGTGTCGGTACCTGGTCGCGCTCGTCCCGCGCGGCGTCCAGCGCGCCGCCTCGTGCTCGTGCTCGTGCTCGTGTCGGTACCTGGTCGCGCTCGTCCCGCGCGGCGTCCAGCGCGCGCAGCCACAGCGCGCGCGCCGCCTCGTGCTCGTGCTCGTGCTCGTGTCGGTACCTGGTCGCGCTCGTCCCGCGCGGCGTCCAGCGCGCCGCCTCGTGCTCGTGCTCGTGCTCGTGTCGGTACCTGGTCGCGCTCGTCCCGCGCGGCGTCCAGCGCGCGCAGCCACAGCGCGCGCGCCGCCTCGTGCTCGCCGGCCGCGTACGCCGCCGCGCCCGCCTCGTGCGCCACGTGCGGGTCGCACACTACGCGCGCGATGCGATCCCACCCGCTTATGTTCTCCGCGTCCGTGTCGTCAGCTGTCTGCTCTCCTGCCGACTGGGAAAAATACTCAATTTTCTTATTCTCTTCTCCTTTACGAGGGCGACACTGAAAGTTTTTAGACCTACTAGTCTTTAGAACTGGCCACTTGTAAAAGATATAAAAAGAAATAAGTTCAAATTTTGAAAATGGAACTCTTTGCTAATATTATTGTGTATGTATTTTATGTATTTGTCATTTGTTTACGATTTGGCGGCAACTTGAAAATTGTCTGTGTCGAAACGAAGCGTCCTTAGAAGCTGAGAATCCGGGCTTGCCCTATCAAACTGCTCAATCAATAATATCAACTAATAAAATAACTCGTAAACTATTTCAAACTATTTCAAATTTCCCGCACGCTCCTCTGTTCTACACAGGTCATGACCTCTTAGTCTTATTATGTAACGTCAACACTTGGCAGATTGCTTTCAATTCGAAATACACTGATTCGTGTTCTCTCTGTCTCAAAGCGAACACGCAATGAACTGTCAAAATTAATCGTCGCAGCAAAACTGCGCGATACTGCTGTCATAAAAAAGAAGTTGAGTTGAGCGATTAATCGTCTCTCTCGCACGCGAGGCCTTTTTACCGGGCTTTCGAGAAGACGATCGCTCCCTTTCTAACCAGTAGGAAAATGTTCTATAATGAAATATAACTACGATTGTTTATATAGCAATTAGTATGGAGCCATAAGCTGGGCTTTCGGTGTGAAGTTAGTCGTGCACGGGGGCGCCTGGGCGATACGTTTGCAAGTTTACTTCACATTTCAATGTTTACTCTGCGTGTTTACTTCAGCGAATGAATATTGCGACTTGAAAATTTTTGCTTTTTTAATGATTTTTAGTGAAAATGGAGGATAATAGTGTTCCTTGTGATGAATTCAAGTGTGTTACAGTGCTAATCGGCAAGGAAAAGGTAAAATCTTTAAACTTCTTTAAATCTCCACAAGTTCCTCCGCGGAACGTGTTTTCTCATCTCTGAAGCGCATCCATATTTATTTGAGAAATACACAAGGTCAAGAGCGTCTTTCACTTACCAATTACAAATTATTAATTAAAACGTTCACCAACATTTTACGCGGACGTAATCAAATATTTCATTAAGAAAGAGAGACGATTCGATTTCAAATATAAATAATTTGTTATTTTTTTATTTTGTACATAATTTGTTTGTACTTTGTTCATGCTTTTCTTTTGTTCATGTATTGTATTGTGTGTAAATTTCTTTTTCTTTCGCTCTAGCAAACCCAAACGGCTTTTTTCAAATCCAACGAAAGTATGTAAATTGCTGATATGTAAATCTATCTAGCAGTAGTATGCCTTCTATGTGCTTTGTTAAACATGTCCTCGACAGCACTGAATATGAAACTGAAGGCACGCCTGGCGTGCCATCAGCACTGAACCGGTTAACAGTGGAATAAATCAATCTTTATCAACATAGCGTATTTTTAATAATTACTGTTAATTGAAAAAAATATTAAAATCGTATTTCTAACAACAAACAATAACGCCATATTATTTGGTTCTTCGAGCCAGATTTCTATCAGCAACCTTTGATTGCTATTGGAAAATAATTGAATACGTGAAACTAATTACTATGACTTACCTCAGCGTCACTATGGAGCGCTGCAGCCCGCAATAAGAAGCGCTCACACATACTGACGTTATTTAGCAAAGAGCACTCGACGCCCACGTACAACGGCGGTAGATGACATCCTGCCATTAATTGACTTGCCTGCAATATTTTACAATATTTCATTCCTTTAACTACTATCTAAATATAAAGTTTAAAAGAATTGATAAGTTAATTATCTTCGTTGATTTCAACGGATTCTATTACTATTATAGTAATTTCAAGTTTTACGTAGTCTATCTCATTGTACGGTGCAACCATATATTTCGGCTTTGTGAGCGATTTTTTTTTATAGGATCAGGTGACAAACGAGCACACAGTCCACCTGATGGTAAGTGGTTACTGTGACCCATATACATCTATATCTATCCTCAATAAAGACTCAAGATGCAGATGCGTTGTCACCCGTGAGGACTAAGATGGAATGCCTCTTTGCCAGTAAAAAGGGTCTCCGGTTCTCTACACTCACCATACGAAACACAGCAGCGTTAAGCTGCTATTTTACGCTGGTTTTCTGTGAGAGCGTGGTCCTTCCCCGGTCGAGCCGACCCATTCGTGCTACAACCATAATATAGCTGCAGCATGGCTCTACCACGTAGATTTTTTATTTAGGTCAACTTCAAATGAGTCATTTATTTTTTGTGCAGTTCACGTTTTCATTCCGAAGAGGACGGACGCGTTCTATATCATTTTTCAATTTTGTATCAATATCATTATTCAGTTTTAATAAAATAATTTTTACTCTTATATCATCTATCATTTAAAGGTATTTCATACTAATAATATGCGGCACAAATAGGTGTAAAATATAATGAAAATATATGGAATGTAAATATCTGCATGATGCTGTGTTTTCTATAGTAAATAACGAAAAGTAAAAAAACCAGAGATGCTTTTTACTGGTATCGAGACAATAGATGTGGATGTCTATTGGCCACAGCACCCACTTACCATCAGGTGGTCTGTACGCTCCTTTATCACCCCTACTTTGATTAAAAAAATCATTGCAACTTCTTTGTTTATTATTATAAAAAATACAGCTCACCTTAAAATAGGCAGCCATGGCTTGATCGTGTTCATTGTCAGCGGCAAAACTGTGTCCATAGGCCAACCAGATACACCCCGCCCCGGGCTCTAAGCTTTTAGCTTTACTAAGATAACGTCGAGCAAACTCACTTTTACCTGCAAATAAATTCAATACAATAATTATATTCACAATTCATATAAAACTACTAGAATAAGGTAATTGCGACAAATATAGTATAGGAAATGCTCAAGTCCAGTAATGGACTGTTAACAGACTGATGAAGAAACTAAAACATTTACCAAAATTAAGCGAGCATACGGCTCACCTGATGGTAAGTGACTATACCGCCGCTCATGAACAACTGCAACACCAGGGGAATTGCAGCTGCGTTAAATGATAACCTTCATTATATAGCATATCGTCCAATGTTAAGTAACTCTTTCCCATAGATATTCCATAATATTAATGTTCGCCTTCGTAAACATTTGATTGGATGGATTAAAATTATCTTACTTTGCCTAATAGATTGCTATCATATCCCTTGTTTAATTTATCACGTTAGTCAATTCTTACTGTCCATCCAAGATACGATACGTTACTTTATGCCTGGTACGTTAGATAAGCACTATTAAATCCTGACCAGCCAAAACAAGCCTCACAATGTTGCCAAAAATCAATAGAAAAATTCTGAAAAATCTACTAGGAACAGTAACTTTGTATGTCATCTGTCTATTGCTGTCGAATTTGGAGTCTTTTTTTTTAATAGAATTAGGGTGACAAACGAGCACACAGTGCACCTGATGGTAAGTGGTTGCTGTGGCCCATAGACATCTACATCTATCTTTGTTTGCGAATTAAAATGCAGATGCGTTGTCAGCCGTGAGGACTAAGATAGAATGCCCCTTTTCCAGTAAAATAGGTCTCCGGTTCTCTATACTCACCATACGAAACACAGCAGTGTTAAGCTACTATTTTACACTGGTATTCTGTGAGAGCGTGGTCCTTCTCCGGTCGAGCCACCCATTCGTGCTACAACTATACTATTATATAGCTGCAACATGACTCTACCGCGTGAGAAACTTGTTGTTTAAGCATGATAAAACTTGTTCACATTATATTAAGTATTTGTCGGAGAGAAAGTCTAAGCGACTCTATTTCTCTAAATAATAGCACCGTCACAATTGTGAACATGAATGTGGCGCCCCCGGTGCAGGTTTTGTATTTTTCCGATCACGCTTTGATTTAACTTTTTCTAATAAGACTTTAATTTAACTTTTTATTCACTTACCTATAAGGTAATAATAGCAGCCAACCGCAAACCAAGACGTCCAAGACTGCGGATAAGAATCGACAAGGGCGTGGGCAAAAGCGAACAGCTCGGCGCTCTTCTTAAGTTCCACCAGGCAGGCCGCTCGTACATCTGCACAGGCCCAAGGCCCGGCAAGATCTAGTGCCTTCAAAGCTTCAGCCCAATGGCCTGCCGCCGCTAAGCGCCTTGCTTTCCGCGATGCGCCTTCCGAACTACGGGAGAGCGCCGCCTCAACCGGACTTAGCACCCCCGGTGAACCAGTCACGTTTCCGCCCGTTTCTGTTCCTCGCTAATGACAAAGTACCAGCTGGGTTAGCTAAGTCAGCTTTCTACAATCGCAAACGCTAATAGAAAACTATAAAAGAATGGAATCATAATACCTTAACGTTAACTCACGTGACTAAGGGTTGTTTACATTCATTTTTATAGCTGGCGATAAAGATGGTAGAAACTAAACTTGACTAAGCTTGCAGATGTGTATAAAATTTGATATGGCATAGTTTATTAATACTTCTGCATATTTGGTTGTATCACAAGGTTCTACGAGGGCGGCACTGACAATTTTGGGAATCAAGGAAGTGACACAACATTACTATTTAAAAATATATTTATTGCTTTTCGAAGTATTCTCCGCGAAATTTGACACATTTTTCCATACGATGGAACCAATCATTGAAGCAACCATTCCATTCGGAAGTTGGGGTCTCCAAAATGGCCGTTTTGTAGGCGTCCACAGCTTCTTCAGGTGATGAAAATCTCTGTCCACGCAATTTATTCTTTATTTTAGGGAAAGTATAGAAATCATTAGGGCTTAGGTCGGGGCTGTACGGCGGATGGTCTAATAATTCTACGTTTTCTTGCTCTAAAAACTCTTTCGTTCTGTGTGCGGTGTGAGAACTCGCATTGTCGTGATGGAGGATGATGCGGCGGTTGCAGTTCTCTTTAAGGAGTTCAGAACATACCTAGCATACCGTTTTGGAGACAAACGTGGCCACCATTTTTTTGCAACACTCTGTGAACGAACAATTTTTGTTGGCTTTAACTCATTTTCGAACACCCAAACTCGTGACTGGTTTTTTGTTTCGGGTTCGTACGCGTATATCCAGGATTCGTCACCTGATACGATGTTGTATACAGCATTTGAGGATCCTGCGTGAATACAGATGGGCAATACACCCACCAGGGTTTAAACCCAGGTGGGTAAAAACCCGGTGTTTTGGGTTTAAACCCAGTAAACACCCAAATTTTTGGGTGTTTACGATTTTTAATTTAAATTCGAAAACCTATTCTACTTCTCGACCTCACCAAATGCTAGCTGGTACAGTGGGCCACAGTTCCAGCTACCCGTTTCCGTATTTTCTTTCGATAGACCAAGGCGACATGAAAGACCGGATATGGTTAGCTTGAGCTGTGGCCCTGCGAGTGTATAGAACAGATCCGCATTAAACACAAAATTATTCAGTAATAAAAACACGTAAAAATTAAAGTCATGAATTCATGATTGAAAATTCATTTCAATCATAACATTTACTTGGCATTTATTTATACTCACTATGTGACTCTAAGTCGGACTCACGAACAATATAGTAAAGTAATGTTATTATGATAAAAGAAACGAGCATTTTGAAATGTTAGTGGCTGAAGAATTTAAATATATACGGCCATGTGTGCGCACGAGGTGTTATGATGAAATTTTAAAATATCTACGGCAAGCAAAAGGCCAACATGTTGGTCAACTACAACATGAAAGCACCGAAAACTAATATTGGGTGACGTTTCTTTAAATTTCTATAGTTGTATTGATCATTATAATCAATAAAAATAAATTTTAAAACTTGTTTTTAATATTACTTAAGTATTTATTGGGTTTATACCAAAGCACCGGGTTTTAACCCGGTGCTTTGCCCATCTGTATGCGTGAAATCTTTCGAGAGTTCTGACGCACCAAGTAACGCGAGCCGCTTTTTGCTCTTCACAGAGCGAATGCGGTATCCATCGGGAAAACAACTTTTTTACACCTAATTGTTCATGCAAGATTATTTGTATTTGACTCATGCCAATGTCTAAAGTTGTCTGAATTTCGCGGTATGTCACATGTCGATCTTCCTCAATCAGCTTACGCATAGCATCAACGTTTTCTTGGGTGACTGCAGTTTTTGAACGACCTTGACGGGGATCATCACTGAGCTTGACACGTCCACGTTGAAATTCAGCAAACCAGCGATAAATTGTGGTTTTGGATGGGGCTTCATAACCAAATGCAGAAATCATCCGGTCAACACACTGTTTTTGTGTTAAACCACTTCGAAAATCATAATAAATCATCGCTCTTGAATTTTCTCGAGTCAATTGCATTTTCTCAACGACTAAACAAGTTTGACAGACCGAGAATCTTTTTTTAAATAAATAAATGGTATTCGATTTTTAAAACCAAGGACTTTTCAATTAATAAAAATTTAATATGACAGGAACAGTGGAAATATTCCATTCCCGATACTTTTAGTGCAGCCCTCGTATATTTAGTATCTTTCTAAATATAATAAACTAGTGATCAGCCCCGAATTAGCACGGTTGATTTCTGGATCTCGACAACAACGCCACCTTCCGGGTCCAATTGTAAATCTAAACCATTCTCTAATCAACTTAATCACACACAAAATTTCTACAAAATAGGTGCAGCTGTTTAGAAAGAATTCAGTCACATACACACGGACAGAAGAACTATATAATATTGTTGCGCGCCAATATTAATGTCTTGTACATGGCAACCCTAGTTACACTAGCGCCCTCTAGTGTCGAGTAAAAGAAAGTGTAGCGCGCCACTATTAATGTCTTGTACATGGCAACACTAGTTACACTAGCGCCCTCTAGTGTCGAGTAGCAGAACTAGGAGAGTCGAGATCCTTCCAGAATCGGGACCGATATGTACTCTAACATTCTAGATGTCGCTACAGTAGAAGGTTCTGGAAACTATCTGAGGCCCTATATAAGGCCGGTATAGACCACGACCGGGGCAGTATTGAATTGGCGATACAAGAGAATACTTCGAAGCGAAATAACGGCGAACTGTGTTTTATTATTAGTGTGATTTTAGATTGTAATTAGTGTAATTAAAGTGTCAATTTTGGTAATTCAATCGGCAGTTTTTAATTGCCTCGAACTCCAAGCTCGTAACAATATATATATATGTATTACATACATATAAACTTTCCTCTTGAATCATCATGTATATTGATGAAAACCGAATCAAGATTTTAGACTATAAGAGATAGAGACTAGCAATATTAACGTGGTGTTATTTAGATTTTATATCATCAATATTTCGATTTGCCAAAAAAGAAGTTTTTGGGCTAAAATATAGTCTAGATCACTCCTGGCATTGTTCTCTATCTGTTATCGAAGTACAATCGGTTTAGCCTTTCCAAAGATTAGTCCAGACGGACAAACAGACAGACAAACATTTTAAAAATTGGATATTCATATCTCAATTGCAAGCTAATAACTGACTCATATAAGGCAGTTATTTCGATACCACATGATATGTATAATTTTTAAGGTTCTCTATTGACTGTATTGTTTAATGTTACTTGTACATATGTAACACGATATTTCCGAAGGTATTTAACCATTGCACTATTTTTCAATCGAAAGAGTATAACTTTCAAAGCTGTCTCAGTAAATTTCAACCTAATCTGATGATGAGTGAAGTCAGTACGTACGAGCTTCTACCGTTTCTACGGCGCCACGATTTAAAGTCGGATTCGCATAGATCTCGACGAGATACGCCGAAAAGTAAGAATAACATTTTTCGATATCTCGCTTGGTCTCAAATATAACGATACTCAAAAATCGAGTACTAAAACCGGATCAGCACGCCCCGACTAGATGCCCCTTAGGCGCGGAGGGAGAGCAGCCCCCACCCGCTGTAGCAAATAGCAGACTATTCGAGCCGTAGCGGCTGAGGCTGGCAATAAGCCAAAACTGCGGAGGTGAGCATGGATGCCTGCGATTTGCTACGCAAGGGCGAAAGGGCTGCACTACCCGCAGCGGCGAACCGTTGCAGGAAGTAACTTTGGATCAATATTCCTGTGTAAAAAAAGTAATTTTTGAGTATCGATCGAAAAAGTTTATTCTTACTTTTCGGCGTATCTCGTCAAGATCTATGCGGGAATTCAAATCGTGGCGCCGTAAGAAACGTAGTCGTGCCAGTACATATCCTTTAATATATTTACTTATATTATTTACCGTGTAGTGACGGTATTAGAAGTAGTGTAGTGCGTATCGAACCTCGCAACCAACAAAGTGCGCCCATTAATAATGACAGCGGTTTTTTAACTTCCTACGAAAAAAGAGGGGTGTCATATATTTGTAGTGTATTTTTTACGAGGCAGGGCCATGCTGCAGCTATTATTATTAATTATAATATAATTGTACTACTGATCACTTTAGTTCGCAGTTATATCGCTTCGAAGTATTCGCTTGTATCGCCAATTCAATACTGACTCGGTCGCGGTCTATACCGGCCTTATATAGGGCCTTAGGTAGTTTCCAAAACCTTCTACTAAAGAAACTTCTAGAATGTTCGAGTACATATCGGTCCCGATTGACTAGGTGTCGATAGTTCTAGAAAGTTCTTCCATGGAAATTTCTAGAATATTCTTGACTCTCCTAGTTCTTCCACTCGATACTAGAGGGCGCGAGTGGTAACTAGTGTCGCCATGTACCATGTATTAATTGTGGCGCGCAACAGTATTAGTATGGTAGTTCCCGTCTATTAGTAAATATAAAAATCTGCAAGCTAGTAGATAATAAAAATAGAAGAACGACATGTTTTGGTAACTTGTTTGATTCAATAATAAGAAATAATATGTTACCTACAGTGGTGTCGTCTGTGGTGGACAATGACGATCGAAGTGGCGCATATCTCAGTAGACGGTCTCTGTATGCGGCGCGCAGAAAAGCTGCCTCCGCGGCACTCAACTGGCTGTTTATTGGCAATGACTCTATTAAATCAGTTTCTGTAAGGAAAATTACAATTTTATTACAGAGAATTATATCCTATCATGCAAAACGATACCTTTATGTATAATTTAGAGGTAAACTCGGCAACTGAAAGAACTAAGGCAGACTTTCATACATAAAATTAGTTGAGAAGGAATGGTAGCGTCTATATATCAAAAATATCTTAAAATTTTAAGCGTCAGTCCCATAACAACTCTGTCAAAGAATTTTGTCCTGAGAAGGCGTCAACAAAAAGATATTCAGATTTGAACCTTTTTAGGTTACGTCTTATGTCACTTGGAGAAAGTCATGCGTCCTGTGGTTGTTTGATGTTAGCTTAATACATTCTCAACATAATGTGCCCTACCTACATAATTCAGTTTTTAGATTATTGTATCTCTATTATATATTTGCATACTATAAATGTATATTTCTGGCATGGCTCCAGGGCTTTTGTGTCATATAGTAACATTCTCCGAAGGGCTAGAATCCAGAGCCGTAAAGCCAGTAAAATAAACAGTAACATTTTGTCTTAGCCAGTGTTGCCATAACATTAAATGGAATTGTTACATATTACTATGATTGAGAAAATGTATTATTGTAGGAAGTTCGAGATTTATTTTCAACAATAACACTTTTATTTTTATTATTACTGATAGTATAGTTATTACTAATAATAACTTAATATAAAATATTTTGTGGTTGTGTGTTGTGTTGGTAGTCTTATAAAGTGTATACGAAAATAGTATGAATATAGTGAATAGCAACACTTGAATAGAGTAAAATGATTTAAGTCATTTGATATTCCCAAAAATGTTTTTTTTTTCTGAGGCTTTAATTAAAATAATTTTTTATTTGAAAAATCATAGAAAAATAATAAAACTCATTTTATATATAACTTATTTCTAGACGCAATAATTTTTGTCAACTATTTTTTTGCCACTGTTCTTTCAAACTTAAAAAAAATAATACAGTAGATAAACTTTTATTGAAGAATGTAGGATGATGAGTGGTGTTTTGGCATGTGGTGGTGGTATAGAGAATCCAACATCCAATTATGTTTATATAAATACACTAGCTGTTCCCCGCGCCTTCGCCCGCGTGTATTTTTGTTTTGCGCAGAACCCTAATATAAAAGTAACCTAAATTACTCCTTATAACATCAGCTATCTGCCAGTGAGAGTCCCATCAAAATCGGTTCACAGGTTTTTTGCGTTATGCGCGTTCACGCCATAATAGCTCGCAGATGATAGATTTTTTTCAGGCTTACATAACATTTATCGTTATATTTTGGCCAATTTACACAATATCTTTATGAATTATAGCTTATGTGTTATTCTGATGTATAAGCTATATTATTGTAAAGTTTCATTAAAATCCATTTCATAGTTTTTACGTGAAAGAGTAAGAAACTTCCATACATCCTCACAAACTTTGACATTTATAATACATATTAGTAGGATTACAAAAAATGTAAACTTTCAGGGAGTTTTTCTAAAATGTACTTACTACTATTAGTACTTTACCTTATTTCATTTGTTTATTTATACTTAAAAAAAAAACAAATGAAACCTTCAGAAAACTAAGCTTGGAAAGAATGAGACGAATGCCGAGTATAGGAAGTAGTTTAATTGTAGAGTTTATTTATTATAATATAATATTGGTACCGAGTATAAAAAATATTTTACATTTGATTCCACATATTCTACTTATTTAATTTCAATAAAACTGTATACTGTATTCACCTCATTCTCTCGCAGGCTAAATCCTATAGATGGTATATATTTGTCTCTTTTTAATGTCGCTTTTTCTTTTCTTCGAGTTTCAAATCACAACGATTCTAAAGATGTTTTCACTTCAATATGAAACTAGCAATGCTAAAAGCATTAGTAACTACAATCAAACTAATAACCATCACATTACTAATATTCCCTTTAACCATACCTGGTAATCTTAAAATGCTTGTGTTAATGATTCACAACAATAGTCGAAATCGAACCCACGACCTTTTGAGTATACGGTCCGCACCCTGCTATTAGGCTAACTGTTGCTTCTCACATATGAATAGATTTTGAGAAAAAACTAAAGCATTCACGTAACTACAGCAGTTTTAAGGAACCTGAACAATATCATATTATATGATGGTCGCAATTCCCCAGAATAGTCGAGTACCGTATAATGGCGGTGTAAGAATACCCACTACCCCATATCATCCCGTGGGTGTCGTAAGAGGCGACTGAGGAAAACAGATCAGGAGATGGACCCGCTCGCCAAGCGTGGCAACTATGGCAAATATCCCCCGTATGAGGCAATCTATCGGGGCGGCCTGTGTTCACCTGTGGACCTTAATATGCTGTGTCACAGTTACGGCACGTTAGACACAGTATAAATTAATGTTTGTTTGTTCATATTTTATGCGCTAACATAATTGCATACCATCAGATTGCGGTTAAACTTTGTCAACGTATTGCTTGCACGTCCGCGAAGTTTATAGGCATAGTACAATTAAATTACAGTAGGTGGCGCGCATATCGTTCAATTAATATCGACAAATTTATTTCAAAGTCATATATCATTCCACTTCAATGAATGCATTATTATTCCTAATGTTAAATAATATAACTGTTACAAAGAACATCGGTCACGGCCCATACATGCTGTGACCTGGCTATAAAATATCGCGAACATGACTAGTGTATGGATTAATCCGTTCCCCCTGGGCCCAATCTAAATCCTAAATTGAAAATACGAGTATGTTATTTAAAAGCCAGGGATCATAGAACGTTACACTTATATATTTCGTCACTTTTGAGGTTATGATGTAGCCATGACTGCAGCCAGACTACAACTTCAGCTAAAACAATTGATATGAAAACTATATATACTTAACTAAATAAGTCAAGCCAATGGCTAAAACCACAAAAATCAATCAATAATCTTTCTAATATTTTCTTTGCTTTGACTTTTTGTTCATGCTTTGACAGCTCTCGTGTCACAATACCACAGACTGCATAGAGACTCATAATACGTTCCGTTCTAAGTATTAGTGTGTTCTATATTTACTGTCAACCTATCGTTTGCAACTTATTTCGGAATATCCCCATCTAAAAATGATATTATTGATAATACACTACAAAAATAAATAAAAAATCTACAATAAAACAATGTTTAAAAAAAGTAAACGCATAATGGTAGTGTTACTTTAGTGTTATGATGAAACATGTACCACAGATAAAACGGAACGGGTTTAGATGCGTTCAAAACCTATAAAAAGTAGTAAGGACATGAGGTTTTTCATTACAAAACTAAAATATTTTACCGGCTTCAATAAAATAAGTTGGACCACGTTATTTAATATACACCTAAGTCACTATTATTGGTGGTCGTTTCATATTTTGGTCAGGTCGTATTTGGCCGATGTTCTTTAAAACGATATTTTCACAATTATTTCTTATGCGGCAGCAAAGCGTTGGGTACCAGCTAATTTAACATAATATACCTGTGTATTTATGACGACTCTGCATTAGGTGAACAGACGACTTTTTTTATAGAATTAGCGTGACAAATGTGCACACAATCCACTTGATGGTAAGTGGATGCTGTGGCCCATAGACATCTACATTTATCCTCAATTAAGAATCAAAATGCAGATGCGTTGTCACCCCTGAGGACTGAGATAGAATGCCTTGTTTCCAGTAAAAAGTGTCTCCGGTTCTCCACAACCAACCATACGAAACACAACAGCATTAAGCTGCTATTTTACGTTGGTATTCTGTGAGAGCGTGGTCCTACCCCGGTTGAGCCAACCACATAAAAAACATGCTTTATTGCATTACTTGGGGAAGGTATATGTTCAGTAATGGACGTGTGAAAGGCTATAATGATGATAAATGTTGATATATCCAACATACTTGCGCTAATAAATTCTAAACTAACAAATTTAAAGCTTTACCTTGTCTTGGTGTGAGTGCATGCTGCTCCAGCAGCAAATCCAGTGCTTCATAGCAAGCACTATCGGCTCGTAAGGCTGTCGTAAGTGCTTCGGCTGCTGCCTCTCGTCGTTCTAGAGCTGCAAGGGCTCGAGCTTGCCATACCAATACTCCAGCTAGAGCTCTCTGGTTTTAACAAAAAAAACTTCATTGGCTTACTGTAAAATACTCACTGGGCCGTGGTAGCTAGCATGCACCCGGGTGCGGGTTCGATCCCCGCCGACCCCAATGGAATTGTTAGTTGCAGTTTTATGAGTTGAATTATAACATGCTAGGCAGTGAAGGAAATCACTGTGGAGAAAACGGTACATCTGAGGAACAAAATATTTTGAGGACATGTGAAGTGCGCCAATATGCAATGGTGCAGCGCGTTGTACTTTACTTGACTTTAAAACTAAACTACCTAATTGTAAAATCACTATAAAGAGACTATTTTATAATATTAGCTCACAGCTCGAAATGCAGTCCTCACTAGATGGCGTGACGATGTGCTGGTAAGAAAAGCGGGAAGTGGATGGGAACGTCGGGAAAATCCGTAAAGTTTGCTTTATTCCATAGATACATGAGGCTCAGGGCCTTGCTTTGTGGCATTCCTACGGGGCGGCCTTAGTCTAGCAGTGGAATTGTTAAAGACTGTGGTGATGGTGATGATGGTGATGGTAGGGTAGTGACGGCGGTGGTGGTGGCGGTGGCGATGGTATTGGTGGTGATGGTAGTGGTAGTGATGGTGACGGTGGTGGAGGTGACGGTAGTGTTGGCGAATGTGGTGGTGGCGGTGATTAGAGGGGTGGTGGTGAAAGTGGTGGTGATGGTGGCGGTTGTGTTAATGGTGGCGGTTGTGTTAATGGTGGCGGTGGCAGTGATGGTGGCGGTGATGAGTGGTGGTGGTGACGGTGGTGGCGATTGTGGTGGTGGTGATGATGGCGAGTGTTGGTGGTGGAGGTGATGTGAGTGGTGGTGGTGACGGTTGTGGTGGTGGCGATTGTGGTGGTGGTGTTGGTGGTGGTGATTGTGATGACGATGATGGCGGTGAACAAGTATACAGTGCATTTACAAACTAGTTCTAACGAAGAAGTCCACAAATGCATGGTCACCTGACACCTAAGATGAAATATCTCACAGCCTGTAATTGTATTGCCTGCAGAAAAGTGTGTAGAACCAAACTATCTACTTTCTTCTTCTTCAGCTCGTTAAAGTACACAGCTGGAAATGATGACAAATTGACGATCACATTACCAGAACTCTCCGCATCCTTACGATCAATAAACCAACGAGGCAGTCAAAAGCAGCTTACATACAATAAAGTTACAGCGTATATACGTCCCACTGCTGGGCACAGGCCTCCTCTCATTTCTGAGAGAGTTTTAGTGTAATAAATGTCCGCCGCGCTTGCTCCATGCGTGTTGGCAAACTTCACATGTCTTCCAAACATTTTTTTTCTTATCTCAGACATAGATACAGGTTCCCTCACGATGTTTTCCTTCACCGCCGAGCACGTGGTAAATCAGCACCTGGGTTGCTCGCGTACTGTGAAATTTACCGCGAGCGTTTAACCCCTGAGCTACCACGGCTTACATACATTATTAATGATTAATAATAAATTCACTAGTAAAAAAAATAATTATATATAATACTAGCTGTTCCCCGCGACTTCGTCCGCGTGGAATTATTATGTGCGGAACCCTAGAATAAAAGTAGCATAAGTTACTCCTTGGCTTACACATAAACTATACTGTCGCGGACTTTTCTACCAACTTCAAAAAGGAGCTGGTACTCAATTAGACTCTATGTTTTTTTTTATGTGTGTACCTCATAACTTTTTACTGGGTGAACCGATTTCGATGATTCTTTTTTTATTTGGAAGCTGGTGCTTCACATGTGGTTCCATATAAATTTCATCAAGGTCTGACCGATAGTTTTTGAGTTATTCTTTATAATTTATATTGAAGTGGGTTGTACAAAATTTTTAATTTTTAATTCTATGCCTTCTATTTAGGAGAAACAATTCCACCATACACTATATTCGTGTAACTCTTACAGTTTTTGCACCGCACGCCAAAATAGCTCGCAGTTGACAGATTTTTTTCGACTTAACATTTACACAATATCTTTATGAGTTATAGCTTTTATGTTATTCTGATGTATAAGCTATATAATTGTAATGTTTCATAGAAATCCATTTCGTAGTTTTGGCGGGAAAGAGTAACAAACGTCCATACATCCTCACAAACCTTCACTTGTATAATATTAGTAGGATAGGACTATTTTATTACGATAACTTACATTGTGTGTTTGGTCATGGTTGCGTGGCTCCAGTAACTGCGTATCACATTCTTCTATTAAGGATAATGCAGTTGCAGGCTCCTTTGCCGCGATGTAGGCTCGCAGTGCCACACCCAAGCATAGAAGATGCCTCCTATTATAACAAAGAGCTAGTTATGTATTGGTTTACTCCTAATGTTTAAGTAATGTAATAACAGCACCAGATATAGAAATTAAATAACTTCTTCAAATTCCTACCTAACTAATAAAAAAGCTCCGAGGGTCCACAATCAACCATGATGGGAAGCAGCATGAACAGGCTGAGGGCATCAACTCTGCGATCACTAACCAGCCTGCCTATTGTGGTAAGTATGGGGAACTCTTCCAAGAAATGAATGCCGAATGGATGTGCATTCTTGGAAAGTCCAACAGTGGATCTAAAAGGCTGTTAAAGATGGTTCAAATACATGTACTGCTAACAGAACCTTTACATGTGGACTTTTTTTTATAGTATAAGGGTAACAAGCAAGCACACATTCCACCTGATGGTAAATGGTTGCTGTGGCCCATATACATCTACATCTATCCTCGTTAACGAATACAATGCAGATGCATTGATAGTATAAGGGTGACAAGCAAGCACACATTCCACCTGATGGTAAATTGTTGCTGTGGCCCATATAGATCTACATCTATCCTCGTTAACGAATACAATGCAGATGCATTGTCAGCTGTGAGGACTAAGATGGAATCTCTCTTCCAGTGAAAAAGGTCTCCGGTTCTCTACACTCACAAAACGAAACACAGCATTGTTAAGCTGCTATTTTACGCTGGTATTCTGTGAGAGCGTGGTCCTATCACGGTCGAGCCGACCAATTAGTGCTACAACTATACTATCAATATAGCTGTAGTATGGCTCTACCACGTATACTTTGCCAAATAGTAACATTATGCAGTGTATTAGCACAGTTTAAAGATCTAACAGTCTAACAGTTGTGAAACGCCTTTTATGTCAAGCGATGCCATCGCTCGCGTAGGTATTTACACGGGCGGCGTGGAACAATTATTTGTAGGCCAGACAAATACTTGTTCCGTGCGGGATTCGAACCCGCGGCCCCCAACGCAACAACTCATTACTAAGCCACTGCGCCACGGAGCCGTATAGGTAACATTTAAAAAAAGTATATATGGACATACAACCTATGTAATCCTCTGGAGGTGACAGTGTGAGCGGCTCGATGTAACTCTCCCCTGGCGAGCATCGCACTAGCTAGCAGCCATATGTCATCGCCGCTTACGGTATCGTTGCCGGCCGCCGCCGCCGCATCCGCCCAGAAGAATGCACTGGTCCATTGTCCCTGCAATACCAACAATTTTTTTTTATATTCTACTAAGCCAGCGCTTATCTACGATCCCACCTGATGGTAAGTGGTGATGTAACCTAAGATGGTGAAGTGGACTGACTTAACAAAAGCCTATTCACTCTTGCCTTTTATAAAACTGAAGTGACAAATGAACTCACGAGTCCACTTGATGGTAAGTGGCTGCTACAGTCCATGGACAACAGCAGTCAACTTCAAACAAAGAAGGCTTTATATGCATTCTCACCCCAAGGACTAGATGGAATGCCTGACAGTCTGTCATTTATACTGGGTCTCTATACCGTTCAGGCAGGAACACAGTGGTGCAAGCACTGGTATTTGGGGCACGAATAACTAAGAGAGTGGTATCTACCCAAACGGACCCCCAAACAATCTCAAGTTTATAATATTCAGTGATGTTATAAAGTTGATAGGTAAGGTAGCACTTTTTAAAAATTACTTTATGAATGACTGTTGTTTTTTTTTTTAAATAATAAATTAAAAATCTTGGCTGGTTAAAATAAATTGAAAAGCATGACTTAAAAGAGGAGTGTACATACTCTTTTTCGTTTCTTTTTTTAAATTTTGGTTTCGAATATATCTGGTCATGGGGGGTAAGATATGGTAAGATATAAGATATGCAGGATGTCGATGGATGCAGGTGGGTGAGGACCGTGCTTTGTGGCATTCCTTGGGGGGGGGGGGGCTTACGTTCAGCAATGGACTTGTAAAAGGCTGTAATGATGATGATGATGATAATATATGTGGTCTGATTTATAGTCGCCATGAAAATAACATAACACATTTGAAAATCAAATCAAATGAAAAATATTCTTTACAATTGTCAGTATAGTAAGTAGTACTTTCATTAGTTACACTATAATATACTATATCAAATATATATAATATAGTTTAAGACATTTTTTTCCTGCAAAATGATTTATTCCTTTAAGTATGTAGAAAACATAAGACTATAACAGCCATTTATAATTTTGTTGTGGGCATGGAATGGATAAGAGCATGCCAGATATTAAAATGCACTGGTGAAAAATCCTTATTGAAGCAAAAATATATAAATACTTTAAAAAAATATACTTTTTAATAAAAAAGTAGCTTGAGATAACTCTTGCCAAGTTGCAAAAAAATTGCTACATCCAAATGAGCTGACAATCATTCCACATTTGGTGGGAAACATGTTTTTGTTATTAGTAAGCTCCTACCTCAATTCACATTTAGACTTTTAGCTGTAGTTAAGGCATGCTTAAAGCAGCCTCTGTACCTTGCTAATCTAAATAATAGCAAAAACTGATGACCCCCTATCATACAAGGCAGCAATAAGATTATACAGTAGGCATGAGTTTGATATATTGAACCACAGTTAAAAACAGTTACCCACAGTTACACATAAGGTCCTGGGTTAGAATACCGGGTCAGCCCAAAATCAGCCAGAGTCAGAAATTTAGCGGTGTTTCAATAAAACCCCCATGCCTGTTGGTGCCACGCCTGATCTTTTTCCAGTTGTGTTGGATTACCGTCTCATCAAACTATGAGAGTGAGGGAATAGAGAGCACACCCGGGTTAAACTATAGACATCCGGTACTAGCGTACAGGGTGAAAGAGGGAGGGGTGAGCGGGAGGGTTCAGGGGAAGCACCCCCTACCCTTATCCCCTTGCGGAAATGTATAGTTTATGAGTAATTATTTTTTTGTAAAATTACAACCTCACTTTTTTACACAGGAATATTGACACAAAGTTACTTCTGCAACAGTTTCGGTGCTGCAGAAAGTGCAGCCCCTTCACCCTTGCGTAGCAAATCACAGGCACCCATGCTCACCTCCGCGGCCTTGGCTTATTGGTCGCCTTTGGAAACCAGCCGCAGCCGCTACGGCTCACACAGGGGCCTACGATTTGTTACAGCGGGCGGGGGCTGCTCTCTTTCCGCGTCTATGGCTTTACAAAAATGCTCTAGGGGTAGGGCAGGACATGACTATGTGGATTCGGGGTGTTCTGATTCAGTTTTAGGACAGATTCGATCTATCTTATCTATAAAGTTTTCCTAAATTCAGCTATGATAGTGGTAAATGAAACAATGTAATTTTAAATCAAATCAAAGAAGTTCAAAAACAGAAGTCGTCGAAAAAACAGGGAAAACACAGCACTAAGCACAACAGAGAACATTCGTGTGACCACTAGAGAAACAGAATGACAATTGACATTTGACATCAGAGATAATAAATATATTATATTTGAGATTTACGGTTGCACAAATTATGGCCGTCAATACCACCCCGTTTCACACTTTTTACATCAGTTTTTGACATCTAATCTCATAACACTATACAAAATTGTCATATTTGCTTCTCTTTATATGGAATTTTTAATGAAATTTATTTTTATCGTAATTAATTCAAAAAGCATTTCCGACATTCAAAATCAGTATAAAAGGTTCATGCTTAGCCTTGACAAGCCTCCTAATCTGAAAACAAAATTAAATCAAGTACCAGATATCTATAGCCAACCCTACACCTGTGTTAGCACATACACTCGGGCACTACTACCCTGTCCTGCACAGATGGCTTGTCTACATTAAGACTGCCTTGACTGAAATTCAGTCTGAGGGACATTATTATTCATATTAATTATGTAAACATTAATAAAAAAGGCTGACTATATGACACAGCAGCTTTGTGCTGTTATTTTTCATTGATATCCAGCTGTTAGTTTAGTCTTTTCCTGGTGTATCCAACACATATGTACTGTAGCCATAATCCAGCTAACTCTACAGCACGCAGAGTTGTACTCGAGTTTATTTTCGCGCTCCCAAGCTGGTTACAGATGGGTCACGACCGACGTCTCTTCTCAACAAGAGTAAACCCGTCCTTATCAATCTTGTCTTTGCTTATGCTACTAATATTTTAGAAAAATAATTAGGGTTCCACGCAACATAATTAAAACCCTAAATTACATGCGGGCGAAGTCGCGAGGAACAGCTAGTAATATATATAGAATGTACATTATATGCTATATTATAGCTGTAGCACGAATAAGTCTGCCCTATTAGAGAAAGACCACACTCACCAGCATAAATAGCAGCTCAATCTTGCTGTATTTCATACAGTGAGTGTAAAGAACCAGAAACCCTTTTAACTGGAAACTAGGCATTGCATACTAGCCCTCAGGGGTGACAACACATCTGAATTTTAAATCTTAATCTAGGACAGATGTAGATGTCTATAGGCCACAACTTATCATCAGGTGGACTGTGTGCTCCCTTGTCACCCCTATTCTAAAAAAAAATTCTACGAGTTATAAAAACAATGCTAGTTTTAAACTTAGAATTATGTTAAAATATTATTATAGTTAAATAGAGCCATTGCCATCCTTTAAACCTGATGCTCAACAAAGACCTATATATAAATGTGAAATGCCCATATTTAGTAGGTTTGGGTAATTCATTTTATAGAAAGACAGGACAGGTGAGCTCAGACCCAATGCCCCGCATTGGTAATCACCGGTCTGTAGCATATAAATAGAAACGAAAAAAGATTTATTTATAAAATTACCAATTCAGAATACTGCTTCACTAAAGAACGCATAAAGTCCACATTCAAACAGTCTGGATTTCCTCTACCGGTAGAATCTACTTTGGCCATTATTACATAGAAAAGCAATGTAAACGAAGTCTTTGACTTTTAAAACAAGCAATATACACATTTATACTTTAAGAGATTTTCAAAGAAAACTTTAGCGATCATTAACAACAGTTTTGTTATACACACATACAAATGCAAGATCTAAAAAGTATTTATATTTAAATAAAGAAATTATTTTTGCAAAACATTTCTCCGTACAAGTTATAATCACAACACACAAACAAATCAAATCAAAATTTCAAAATGTCACAAACTGACAAATTGACTTCAAATCACAATGACGTTGACATTACTTTTTTATAAAAAGATTTTTGGCTTGGATGTGTGTCTTTTAAGCCATGTCTTAATCTCATTATCAAGTGATAATAATCCTATAAAGTAGTCTGCTTCACAATATGTCACATTGCGCAGCCCTTGGAAGATTTTGACGGCAACTTGAGTCAGCCGACACTTGGCGATGGTATCTCAAGGTGCTTAAGCAGGACAGACACCTTATCTTGAGATTCTCATCACCATCGGAGCACTTGTTTCACCATTTCCACTAATAATTCACATGCGCAGACATTTAAAATACAAAACCGCACTTCTTTTATATACAAAATCCACTTCAAACTATTATGTAAACAATAATACAGGAGCTGCAATACGCCGCCGATCAAGTTCCCGCCAAAACTCTACATTTCTGATAAAAATACTACGAGTATATAGGAGAATAGATAAAGAATACCCCTTCATGCTACTAGGAGACTAGGAGTGAAACTTAGGTATTTATTGTAACAGGAAAATCATCAGGTTTTTAAAAATAATAAATGGGCATTATTATTTTTAAAAACCTAAATATCTGTTCCTGTTTCACGAGCGAGCACCGTTTGAAACAAGCTCCTCTTTGTTCTTTCTTAGGGAGGTGATGATAAGAGCTAGAACCCGTAAACATCTCCTGTAACATCCTGTGATATTTCTCTTAAAAAGCTTGTTTTCAAATCAGGATACACACAAATATTCTTGTAGCCGAACCATAAAAATGTAAGATGTGTTTGTGTGTGAAAAATAGTATTACCGTAACAAAATAAAACCTAACAAGTAATAATAACAGGAATAAAATACACGTAATAGGGACTGACAAAGTTTTAAGACATTTTCGATACTTCGAAATTTTACATAGTTTATTTTTATAGAATGGGAGTGGATTAGGACTAACGAGCACATAGCCCACCCAATATAAGTAGGTGTTGTGTCCTATATACAACATCTAACGTAATTAACGCTCATCCTCAGACACCCCACTTAATATATCATGTTATAATCATAATACATACACTGACTTATTAGGTTATACATGTTTATGCGTTGATTATTTATTAAATTAGTTATACTAATTCCGGAAGAACGTTGTGGTCACAGTACAAATCCACGAAAGCACACAGTCGCACACGTAAGTATAGGTCATATGAGAGTCTTGATAGCCTATTTTAATTGTAATTGTAAATAATAATGAACTGCTAAAATAACAGGCGATACGACAACATAATTAAAAGACGGAGTGTTCAAAAGATGTGAATCAAGATTACAATAATTTAAAGAATCAAATATTTAACTTACTGATAGGCTAAACTCTCATGCCACATTGCATTTTAATACATTTTCAAAATGTCCACCACTTTGTTCAATACATACATTTTAACGACCGTTTTCTTAATTAATATTTTAATTTAGAAAGCAATTCAGTGTCATTTTTCACTATTCTATTTTAGGTCCTCGGCTCGGCACTTGTTATCTCATTAAAATAAACTAATGATTTAATACATTCCCACAAAAAAAAGTCAAAAAGAAAGCGGATCTGGGAGGTCAATGGACAGTGCCGCCGCGATCGATTCCGATACCGATCTGTATTTGTAAAGACTTTAACTTGCTTGAAATAAGGTTAATTTTTCTTTATTTTGTATTGAATGACGGAATTTGTATTAACACAAATAAAACTACACTTTTAAGTCTTATTAAACAGGTTTAATGTGACTGTAATTTACGTAGTTTTAAGTATGTTTGGGATAAAAAATTACCTATATTAAAATGATAAAAATCGATTCAGTAAATGATTCTGAACAAACTACTTTCATATTATGGATGTGCGTTAATTATGTTACGTGTTGTATATCTACATTCACCCTTGATAAAGAATCAAAATGCAGATGCATTATCACCCCTGAGGACTACGATGGAATGCCTCGTTTCCAGTAAAAAAGGTCTCCGATTCTTAACACTCACCATATGAAACACAGCAGCATTAAGTTGCTATTTTACGCTGGTATTATGTGAGAGCGTGTTTTTGCCCAGTCGAGCCGATGCATTCATACTACAACCATAATATAACTGCAAAGTGGCTCTACCACGTATAACTAGATCCTATTATTTGACTAAGCTCTCAAACTAATAAGAAGTACTAGCTCATATTCGTTATGTCTTATTAGAAACGTTATGTGCTCTTATTAGAGAGGGTACCTAGAAACTTAGCATATTCCTCGTTGTTGTGTCGTGTTGCTGTTTTCATTGTTATTGTTTATAATGTAATTATTATGTGAGTGATAATCATGAAATTTTTGTAATATTACTAGATTTTTCCGAACCGGTACAACTTAGAGACCTTCAAGAAAAGAGCTTACTCCTTTCTAAAAGGCCGGTAACGCACCTGCGATTCCCCTGCTGTTGAAGTTGTTCTTGGGCGACTGTAGTCAGTTATCATCAGGTGAGCCGCATGCTCGTTTCAAATAATTGCAAATATCCCTTGTAAAATCGTCATCATACATCTATTAAAAAAATCTGTTAAAGAGACTTCGTCAGCGGATTTATTTCATTCTCTTACTTCTTCAGTGTGGTCAAAAATAATCTTGCACCACTCTTTGTAGACTCTAAGAAGTGAAAAATTATTATCGGACAATGCGTCGATTCTGTCGAAAACGCATTAAACTTATTTTAAATCATCGCAATCCTTTACTATTTGGTAGAACAAGAAAGAAAAAAGAACTATTGGTAAATCCAATTGAGCATGCCCTAGGCGGTAAAAAAAATTGCGCATAACATGATTGTATGTAAATTTTCTAATAGTTAAAATTTAAATATACACAAGTTTTGACTAATTATTACATTTCCAATTTTCCAATAATTTTATGTCAAATTTCAATTTAAAAAATCTGGAAATTCCAAATGTGCACGACTCATAATGTATGAAATTGCATTTTCGGATATTCTGTACAGCGATCTTTTTGAGCCGGTGCAAACAACCGACACAGTGTCACGGCGGCAATTGACGCCGAAGTAAGTGAGTGTGGAAGAGACAGACTGTTTAATAAATTTATTTATTTACGAGGATGCTATAACACCGAAAATTTCTGGATTTTTACGCCGAAAAAATAATTATAAGTAAACAAAAGAAAATTAAACTGTCATTTACATTCCATGGCTTCTCACATGATAGATGAAGAGATTAAAAAATAGATTGAGTTAAACAATTGATATTTTCAAAAGTTATCGTGTTTACCACACCATGCGCTCTTGATAAACCTACGCTATAAGCCACTAAAACCACTTTTTTAATGTAAAAATAGCAATTAATTGATTAAAAAAATATTAATAATTCAGTAATCATTTTTCTTTCTGACAATGTGCTTTTTATGTAATTTATATGTTCAATATTATTGTTAGATACGATTTTATGCGACATAACGTTGGAATTTTGATTTATAGGCGCTTGTAGAATATACCTACGCGCTTTGCGCTTGAGACATGCAATAGCAAGAATTGTAATGCTGTCAAATTAGTGCACGCAGTATATTTGAACTTGTCTTTAATCAACCTGTTCCGAGGTGCCAACTAAAATTGTTCGAGAATTTAAGTTTCACTGAACCAACAACATTAAAATGATAGCTATCTCTTACATTCATATCAAACGCATGCAAAGCGAACATTAACACTTTCTTTCCACAAAATACATTACTAATATTGTTGGTTGCTATCACGCTACATTAAATGTTTATCAGAAAGTAATAACTATATTTTTACCCGACTGCCAAGGAAGGGTTATGTTGTTCGCGCGCATCTTGTATGTTTGTAAATTTCTTTATTACCTCGTATCTTCCAAACGGCTGGATGGATTTCAATAATTAAGCCATCGTTTTATTTGTCTTAGAAACCCAAGTGTTATTATACATATATATATGCAAATATACATATGTATATTATATATATATATATATATATATATATATATATATATATATATATATATATATATATATATGTTTAAATTTAATTAGGAATAATCAATTGGTTTAAAGTTTTTGAAAAATGGTAAAAACGTAAAATGGGTCATGTTTGTACCGGACATCGTGCTATCATATTAAATTTACTTCATAAGAGTTTGTCGGGACACTAAAATGTCTAAAATAAAATAAATAATTTAAAAAATCAAAAACACGACCGCAAAAAAGACAATTTAAAAGTGCACTAAAACGACCGAAACAAGATTGAGAATAGAAAACAAAATTGAAATAAAATATTATTAAAGTAAACTGCTTTATTTAACAGACTATACTATGAGCTGAAAGCCTAAGTTAAACCCCAAATTAACACACACTTATCCGTCCCCAGCTCCATTCTAATAGAATTGCTAAAATCACAAGTGATGTTTAGCAATTCCATAAGATGAGAGCGACTGGAGGCGAATAATTTGAGATCATCCATATAGAAAAGGTGGGTCACTTTTGTATCTCCTCTCCGAAGCTGAAATCCCCTCCCGGAGCCCTCCAGTAAGGTACTGAGAGGGTTCAGAGAGAGGCAGAACCAGGTTGGACTCAAACAATCGCCCTGGAAGATACCCCTTCTTATCCTTATGTGGTTCTCCGCAGCCGTCATCCGCTCGCCTAGATGACAAAGGATCGTACTCCATTGCCCCATACACTGCCCGAGGAAGTCTCGAACTGTACAGTCAACCTTGTAACCTATGAATGTATTTCTTTGAGTTAATGTCTTCATAAAGAAATTCATTCGATAGCTTATTATGAACTTGTTAACAGGTCTCATCAAAACTTTATCTTATGGGAAATTCAGATCAAACTTATTTTTTTCGTAACCATGCAGTGGCGCTGGAAGAACGTCCACTTCGCATATCATCGCGTTGGTGTCGTACGAAGCGACAAAGGGAAACTGAACTAGGGGCAGCAGCATCTTCTATCTAACCCT